AGTACAGTACATTCAGTTGTCTCCTAGAATCTAAAAAAGTGGCTTTCAATCTTTTCTTTTTCCTACTATAGACCACTTTAAACTGGGTGAAATAGCCCACAATCTACTCCATCTTTTTCCACATGCAAGTGGAAGGAAGAATAACTCAAGAGTCCTGGCCGGGCATGGTGGCTCATGTCTGTAATCCTAGCACTCTGGGAGGCCGAGGCGGGTGGATCGCTCAAGGTCAGGAGTTCCAAACCAGCCTGAGCAATAGCAAGACCCCATCTCTACTAAAAAAGGAAAGAAATTAATTGGTAAACTAATTTATATAGAAAAATTTAGCTGGGCATGGTGTCACATGCCTGTAGTTCCAGCTTCTCGGGAGGCTGAGGCAGGAGGATTGCTTGAGCACAGGAGTTTGAGGTTGCCGTGAGCTAGGCTGATGCCACGGCACTTTAGCCTGGGCAACAGAGTGAGAGTCTGTCTCAAAAAAACAAAAAACAAAAAAACAGCCCTACTGAGAGGCTAATGTAAAGTACATTTGGGGTATTAGATGTACATGTGGTTTTTGCAATTAAGGCATAAATGATTCATATTCAAATTGCAATGCATTATTGTCTTTAGGTATAATTACTGGAAAATTAAAGGCTAAAAATACAGTTAAAACAAATACGTATCACTATTCACTTTAAGGTTCAAAGGTATCCCAACTAACTTGATAATGATGAAGCTAAATGAACAGTAAATTATAATTAAAAGCAACAATGGTAGCAATTGGAGATCTTGACCTACACACGGCAAACAGCACCGATGATAGACGGAGACAAAACCCCTACCCAGACAACGTCAGGGATAGTCAAGTCTCCATGGGTACTTTGTGCTACGCCAGCCTTTTCCCAGAAGCCAAATTTCTTGATGGAATACATAAATCAAAATTCTCAATAAAATTTGGTAGTTCATTGATTTTTGTTTATGAATTCCAGATTGGAGTAACCTGCAATAATTCACTTAGCAAGCTGTTAGTAAGCAGGTCTTAGATGTACACAAGACAAGAGTGTATGGATTTGTAAACAGTTCATCCGAAAGGACTAACATTGCTTTTTTGGATCAGTTTGAGGCCCATCAGGTGAGTCTTGGGTAGCATTTAAGAATCACTGGGAGGAAGGCATTGGACACAGCTGAATTGTTATTCCCGAGAGTCGTAGACCACAAAACATGAGATCTGAGAACCAGAGACATTTATTCCAACCCTCTTGCTTTCTATAATAAGAATTACACCAGAACCATGGGCAAAAGCTGATCATTCCAACCTGACACCACCAGTTAGTTTAGCACGGAGGTTGATGTGACTTGAAGTTTTTCGCACTTGCTAATTTAAAAAAAATAAAGCAAGCAATCGCCTCAAAGCAATCAAGATGGAGATTGGCAATTCACAGAAGAGTTATGATATTTTATCTGTGGCTTAAAAATTAGATGAAAGGAAGAATCAGAAGCAGTCTGCCAGAAAATCTAGTAGCACCAGACTCCAAAGGTTGCAATGACTCGGGTATTTCTACCTTAGAGAATAATTCTTTACAATTGCATAACACTTCTAACCTCTCAAAACACATTTGCAATCTCCAGGGAGGAGGTGTAATTTCTCAGGTGACCTGAGACAGTTCACAGTTTCCTGACCTCCTTTTTTCTTTCCTCTTTCCTCAACCTTCTTCTTGGGTCTTCATCCCTCTTAATTTTTTCCTTTCTCTCTCGTTCTCTCTGTTCAGTTTCTCAGCTGCTGCTTTAATGGCTTGGTCAGGCTTTGCTCTTCCTGGAAATGAGCCTACAGGGCTTTTTGGGGTTACTCAAAGTTCAAGAGGTAGCTGAACCTGGAATCAAAGTCTAATTCAACCTAGGTTTCTTGAGGTTTTTTTGTGTTTTTTTAAATCAAAATATTTGGCTTTCCAAAGGAGTCAAGTAGGGCCAATCACATTTACGTCCTGGAGATAGGTTCTTTAGAGAGGTAATCAAATTAAAATAAGGTCAATAGGCCGAACAGGGTGGCTCAGGCCTGTAATCCTAGCACTCTGGAAGGCCGAGGCGGGTGGATCGTTTTCATTCAGGAGTTCGAGACCAGTCTGAGCAAGAGCAAGACCCCAGTCTCTACTAAAAATAGAAAGAAATTAGCCAAACAACTAAAAATATACATAGAAAAACTTAGCTGGGCATGGTGGTGCATGTCTGTAGTCCCAGCTACTCAGGAGGCTGAGGCAGAAGGATTGCTTGAACCCAGGAGTTTGAGGTTGCTGTGAGCTAGGCTGACACCACGGCACTCTAGCCTGGGCAACAGAGTGAGACTCTGTCTAAATAAATACATAAGGTCAACAGAGTGGGCCCTAATCCATATGACTGGTACTTTTATAAGAAGGGAAAATTTGGACGCAGAAACAGAGGGAAGATGGCCATCGACAAGCCAAGGAGAGAGGTACAGATCCCTCCCTCGCGGCCCTCAGAAGAAAACAGCCCCACCCACATTTTGATCTCAGACTTCTGGCCTCTAGAACTGTGAGAAAATGTATTTCTGCTGATTAAGCCATCCAGTCATAAGCCCTTGTCACAGCAGCCCTAGCAAACTGTCACAGGGAGCAGCAGAGCCTGGGACACTAACTTTTCCTACATCCCCACAAGACTGTTGTAAGAACGAAATGATCTAATAGAACTCAAGCACTTTGCAAATAGTTAAAGCTACAATGAAGATGAAAGAGATTGGTATTGATATGGTAGCATTCTCTGGCTACCATATTTAAAACTACTGTATTTTAAAAATTACCTCTCTTCCATACATACACACTGAATCCCCTTCCTAGATCTATTTTTCTTTACTTAACACTTACCACCTTTTAGCATACTTTATATTTTACTTGTTTATTTCGCTTATTGTCTATCTCTGTCCACTGGAAGCAAGGGTCTATGGGGACAGGACCTTTCTGTTTTGTTCACTGTTAGCCTTTCAGCACTTAGAACTTTGCCTGGCACCAGGCAGGTCCTGAGTACACACTTGCTGAATGAATGATAAATGCACATTTGCATCCTCTCATCTTTATCAGGCTATTGCCTACTGATCGTTTGAGGCTGAACTCAGGTATTTTCACCCTTAGGAAACCTTCCCAGGCCACCTTCCTCTTCCCTAGTTTGGAGTTTCTCTTCCATTCTCTTAAATCGATTTTCCCATCATTGCACTGACAACATTGCAATTCTGTGACTCCTACACCGTGAGCCCTTAAAGGTGGGGACCATCAAGGTATATATACCTGTCACCCAAGAAGGCGGCTTTGTACACGACCCTTGGTGGGCACCCTGGGCTTGCTTGTTGAGTGAGCCAGTAACTAAGGAGCAAGGGAAGGGTGTGGGCAGAGGGTGGATCAGAAGTGGCCTCCAATGGGGTACTGATCCTATAGCATAGGCTGCAACCCACGAGATGGAATAGTCAATAACACTGGACACTCACAAGGAAGCTCACCACCGCACACCGTTGGGTGGCACGGAGGAAATCACAAGTGAACAGTGAGGCCATCTGGAAGATGACCTCAGGAATTTGAAACAAAAGAAGTAAAATAAAAATCGACAAGTCAGAGCAGAGATATGCAAAGTGGCCATAAAGATCAAAAATGAAAGGGTCTTGGATATACAAAACAGGAGTCTCCCTTGATTAATAAATCCAGTTAACATAACTGAATACAGGTCGGGCGCGGTGGCTCACGCTTGTAATCCTAGCACTCTGGGAGGCCGAGGCAGGTGGATCGCTCAAGGTCAGGAGTTCGAAACCAGCCTGAGCAAGAGCAAGACCCCATCTCTACTAAAAATAGAAAGAAATTAATTGGTCAACTAAAAACATATAGAAAAATTTAGCCGGGCATGGTGGCATGTGCCTATAGTCCCAGCTACTCAGGAGGCTGAGGCAGCAGGATTGCTTGAGCCCAGGAGTTTGAGGTTGCTGCGAGCTAGGCTGACGCCACAGCATTCTAGCTCAGGCAACACAGTGAGACTCTGTCTCAAAAAAAGAAAAGAAAAAACATAACTGAATACAGAATGAAGGCACCTGGGGCTGGGATGGGCTGCAGAGGTTGTCAATTAAGACACTTTGCATCTTCTCACCAGGCTATTACCCTTTCTCTTAGGAAAAGGAGAATGGAGGAGACTTTGTCAGCTGAGCCCCTGGGTAGAGAGTGTCCAGACTGGCGATAAAGATATAAGATCTTCCTGGGAAGTCTTTGATGTGAACTCAAGGCTTGGAAAGGGAGTGTAGTGTGATCAGCAGTCATGTGATGGTGGGGGTCAAATATAATAGAACGATTCGGGGTAAGAATTATCTTCCCCATGAAATGAGGTGATGTTTCCAATTAAAAAGGAAAAAGTACAGGGAAGATCAACCATAAAGGTCATTGTGCTCTGAGGGAAGAATTAAGGATCTCAGCTGATGCTTCTTGTCTGCAAAGAATGAGGAATAGCATCACTTGCTTGCCAGGTTGACCCACCTTTGGGGTTTTACGATCTTGGTTGGGCGGTAGTCATCCTTTTGTCTGTTCATTCATTCATTCATTCATTCATTCATTCAAACATTTTGGAGCTAGACACTGTGCTAAAAATCCCGAGCATACAAAAACAAGTGTTAACGACCAGTCCAACTAAGAACCTTGACCTCCTGGATTTGTGTAATCTATAATCCAGTTCAAACAAGCGTCGCCTGGCGCTCCCCCTGTGTGAGGGGGAGGTGGTTAGAAAGGGTAGCTATGACACCAGCGACAGCAAGCCTGATCAAACAGAGCGGGAGGCCCACGGCCTGCAGGAGGAGTGAAATGCCAGTCCCCTGGGGGGCGGGGAGTGGGACTGAGGCATCAGAACCTCTTGCTGGGAATGTCGACTGGGACCCACTAGAGCAGACATAGCACTCCACTATTGGAGCACCACAGGCACGGCCACTAATAACCACTTAGCCAAAATCATCATGGAACTAAACAAGAGAAGATTTTAGTTAAACTGACCTTCTGAGGATGCCCGCAGAGTCACTGGATTGGGTTGGTGACATTCTTCATTAACAGTGAAAATTTTGCCAGGGTGCCTGAGACAAAACAGATGCATATGATGCCGCTCCTGACTCCCCAGGGACCTGCCCACCTGAAGCAGAAAGATTACAGTCAGCCTGGGCCGCACATCCTGATTTTTAAAAATAAACAAATAAACACTCTCCAGGTCTTGAAAAGTAAATTTCTCCAGGAAATACTTTACATAAATCATTCCCTAAAGTATATGTATTTTGTCTACTCTGTAAATATTTTGAATTTATTTATTTATTTTGAGACAGAGTCTCACTCTGTTGCCTAGGCTAGAGTGCCATGGCGTCAGCCTAGCTCACAGCAACCTCTGGGGCTCAAGTGATCCTCCTGCCTCAGACTCCAGAGTACCTGGGACTACAGGCATGTGCCACCATGCCCGGCTAATTTTTTTCTATGTATTTTTAGTTGGCCAATTAATTTCTTTCTATTTTTAGTAGAGACGGGGGGTCTCACTCTTGCTGAGGCTGGTTTCGAACTCCTGACCTTGAGCAATCCTCCCGCCTCGGCCTCCCAGAGTGCTAGGATTACAGGCGTGAGCCACCGCACCTGGCCAATATTTTGCTTTTTAAAGACAAGATATTCAGTGTTAACTTTGGGGGTAAAGGAAGCACTTACTTGAGGAGGAGAATAGAAAGTCTTTACCCAAGTCATCGTCTGTTTTCCATTCATTAGAGATGTGTGGGGCTTCTACTCTGTTCCGAACCGTGCTGGGTACCAGGCGATGGAGCAGGATGGAAGGAGAAGGGAGATAATGGAGGTTGCCACCTGTAGCCCTTTACAAGCTTCCAGCCTAATGCGAGTGTTGCAGGTTGGGTTCCCCGGATCTGAGATAGAGAACTGGAAGCGAGAAGTTTACTGGGGAGAGTTCTCGAAAACAACGCCTGTGTGGGGCGGCAGGGCAGAAGAGGAAGGAGTTGACTGTCACCCAACAAAAAGCTGGTCCCATAGGGCGCTCAGAAGCTGACATGGTCCTTCAGAGATGTCTTGAATTAAGGCAAGGGAGATGTGTCTCTGTGCCCCTTATTGAATGTCACTGGGTGTGGGCTGTCCCATGGAAGGGGGAGTAGCCTTGGGCAAGACAGGTCTCTGCCATGGAGGGAAATTCCAGAAGGAGGGACTCAGCCTTGAGCTCTCAGCCAGCCACACTCCTAGAAGTTGGGAAAATGGTACCCTCGGGGCTGAAGGTGGGGATCCGGGCAGCACACGCAGCATCTGCCCCATGGGAGGATAACACAAGGTGCGATGCGACGTCATGGTGCTATGATGAAGGTGCGCTACAGTAGAAGGAGCATTCAGAGGGTTGGAGGATCACATCTGAGAGGGAGCAAAGGAAGCTTCCTGTGGAAGCTGAGGTCCCTGGATATGCATGAGTCTCCCGCCCCCAGCCCAGAGGAAGAGCTAAAGTGAAGAAATCACACATTCTGGCTGATGGGGAAGGAGGATGGAGCAGCTGGGAGGAAACGAGATGTCTGCAGCTGTGCCTTCCCCAGCACTTCTGGAGGTGCAGCCACAGCTGGCAGCCACTCCTGACGGCAACAGGTACAGGTGTCCCCAGGGTCAGGCCCTGATAGTGCTGACAGAGAGCTGCCCACAGTGGCCCTTTAAGATCCGCTCCATGTTGCCTGACCGCCCGGCTGGCTGACTGTCGTCCCTGATTGAGCAATCCCTGTTTGGTCCCAAAACAAACTGACCTAAGGTCACCCCAGAGTCTAGAGCAAGGTTCCTCAAACTTTTTAAACAGGGGGCCAGTTCACTGTCCCTCAGACCGTTGGAGAGTGCGCACTGTGGGCCTGGGACGAGTCGGCTGCTAAGCAGGACAGGCAGCGGTGGCAAAAACATCCAGAGGGCCGGATAAATGTGCTAGGGGGCCGGCATGTGGCCCGAGGGCTGTAGTTTGAGGACGCCTGGTCTAGAGAGTGCAGGGCACTTTTCTAAGGCAGTGCCTCCCGTGTTCAAACTCATTTCTTCCTACCAAGCCAGGCTGCTCACCCCTTTTCCAAGAGTGGCTGTCAAGACTGAAGTGGGCCACCTTTCAGGGACCAGAGTGGATTGCAGTTCAGGATGCGAGAAAATGTGTGAGGCTCCACTGCCTGGCAGAGCAAAGGGCATTTTTTTTTTTTCTAAATCAGTGTTGAGATTTTCTCTTCTGTTTGAGATGCCTCCAGACTAAAGGAAAGAAATACTCCGTGGATTTACCCCCGAAAGGCAACATGTCCCTGCTCCCATTTTATATTTCTGCTCAGTTACACCTCTTGAAATCCTCTGTCTCAGGCAAAGCAAAAAGCCGCTGTTTAAAAGCTGAATAACGGGTTTCCTTTCCAGGGCATTGGATAATTTTGTATACTCCAACGTACAACTTTCTGTGCCAAGATTCAAAAGCATTGCTTCCAGTAGACAAAATTAAACAAAACAAAGAAAAAAATGCATTTTCCTACGTGTAAAATACAGAGATGGGTCTTACTCAGTAATCTTTGCTGGCTGGGCCCTTCCGTGCTAAGAGTCACTGAATTATATTGACCGGAAACAGCTAAATGGAGACCCTTTGGAAGGTTTAATAGTTACATATTGCTGCATAAGAAATGACTCCAAAATTTAGTAGCTTAAAACAACAAGCATGTATTATCTCACAGTTTTTTGTTTGTGGTTTTTTGTTGTTGTTGTTGTTTGTTTCTTTTAGCTCAGAAATGAGAGCATCTTCCCTGGGTGGCTCTGCTCAAGGCCACCAGGTAGCTGCAGTCAGGATGTCCGCAGGGCTGCCGTCATTTTAAGGCTTGGCTGGGGCTTGAGGATCCACTTCCAAGACGGCTCAACCCACACGGCTGCTGGCAGGACGCCTGGGTTTCCTGCCGCACGGACCTTTCCTGCGATAGGGCAGCTGCTTCTGCCGGAGCAAGGGATTCAGGGGAGAGTGGCCAGGACAGAAGCCACACGTCTTCTGTGGCTCAGTCTCGGAAGTAACGCGCCATTACTTCTGTCGCAGTCTGTCGATTAGCAACGAGTCACTGAGTCCAGTTCATAAACAAGGGGAGGCAGATCAAAGAATTAGTAGACACAGTCCAAAGCCACCACAGAAGGAAGAGTGGGGCGTGTTACACAGAGCTACAGGGTGAACCTGAACAAAAGTGGGAATCGAAGTCTCCTCTTGTCGCCAGTGCCGCGCCAGTGCCCCTGCATACCCCTACCCTGCTTCTTGGGCTCAGCTTCTTGGGTGTGTTCTCACCTCCTTTCATCAGTCCATCCCAACCCTTATTTTACCCCTCCCAAGGCTCCCTGTGCCCCCAAAGGAGATGATCAAATAAGCTGATGTGCTAATCTCCTCCCACGTTAACCAGCATTTCATTAGAGGAACCTGCCTCTGCTGATGAAAGTGCAAGTGATCTTCCTGGAGAAAGAATTCGTTAGAGGGCAGCTCCCTGGAGAACATTGTGGGGTGGCTGCCCAATGCACGCACAATGCAGTGCCTCTCCTAGAGAGCTGGTACGCAGCAAGGATCGAGAATAAATATCCAACATGCTGCGTTTCCCCGAGACTGCTCTGCCCCCTTCTAACCTCTGCGATGGCATAAGCACCAGGCCTGGTGATGGCTCCCCCCAGGGAAGTCCTATCCTATCACCTCTGCACTGAGACCACAAACCCAGGACAACCCCCTGTCCCCCTCCCATGTTTCATCTATTACGCTGAACCACCTCCCATCCCAGAGTGGACGACAGATTGAAACCAGTTTCTTGGAGTCCTTCTGGGCTGGTTTTGGAGGCTACTCCCCCCCGAGCCACCATTAATAACTGTGCACCATCTGGGGCCCACCCAGCCAGGCCTGCGTCCAGCAGGAACATGGGGAGCTGGGCCTGTGGCTGATCAGTAGTTTTCAGATTTGGCTTCAATGGTTGGTTCCAAACACCAGAGGATGGAAAAAGCCCTGCTGATGATTTTATTTATTTATTTATTCTAAAAAATTTTTTGAGACAGAGTCTCTGTTGCCTGGGCTAGAGTGCTGTGGCGTCAGCCTAGCTCACAGCAACCTCAAACTCCTGGGCTCAAGTGATCCTCCTGCCTCAGCCTCCCTAGTAGCTGGGACTACAGGTATGCACCACCATGCCCAGCTAATTTTTTCTATATATATTTTTAGTTGTTCAGCTAATTTCTTTCTATTTGTAGTAGAGACAGGAGACTCGTTCTTGCTCAGGCTAGTCTCAAACTCCTGTCCTGACCTTGAGCAATCCTCCCACCTCGGCCTCCCAGAGTGCTAGGATTACAGGCATGAGCCACCATGCCCGGCCCCGTCAGCATTTCTGGCAGCCGTTTGGCCTGGCTTTCAAGTGGAGAAAGCCACCTGTAAGAGGTGCATTTGCCACACAGCCCATTACTGCTCCAGAGCTGGTGATGGCAGCAGCAATTACGATCATTTATTTATAGTCTAATGGGCCAAAGCACTTTTTTAGAACTTTTACCTGAACATAGGTCTACCATTTCCAGATAAAACTATCATTTTAAGAAATTGCATCCAGGAAATTGAACTGGACAAAGACTTAGCTCAGAAACTGGAACAATATGCATACCCTAAATGAGAGGGCTGCTCTTTGGCACATAGGTCTAAGTGATTCTATACTTCTCCCCCCATCTCAGCTGTACTTACTTCTTTTCATTTCCAAGTAATGGGTGCAGGCAGAAAACTGCACTATGGGAGCAGCCAGGGACTCTACCTCCTTTCTCCCATAGAGACCTCTAGATGGATGAAGTAGGCCAGTTAAGGAGTTTCTGGTACATAGTACTAGTTAACAGCTCAGGCTTTGGAGCCCACTGTCTGGGTTTGAATCCCTAGATTGAATCCCAGGACATGTTTTTTTTTTTTTTTTTTTGAGACAGAGTCTCACTTTGTTGCCCAGGCTAGAGTGAATGCCGTGGTGTCAGCCTCACTCACAGCAACCTCAATCTCCTGGGCTCAAGCAATCCTGCTGCCTCAGCCTCCCGAGTAGCTGGGACTACAGGCGTGTGCCACCATGCCCGGCTAATTGTTTTTATATATATTAGTTGGCCAATTAATTTCTTTTCTTTTTTTTTTATCTATAGTAGAGACAGGGTCTGGCTCTTGCTCAGGCTGGTTTCGAACTCCTGACCTCAAGTAATCTGCTCGCCTCTGGCCTCCCAGAGTGCTAGGATTACAGGCATGAGCCACCGGGCCCGGCCCCCAGGACCTATTTTTAAATGTTCTGTACCTCAGTTTACTTATCTGTAAAATGGTATCAATAATAACACTTATCTCATAAGCTTATTCCAAAGACTAAATGAGTTAATTCATTTAAAACAGCTATTATTATCGCCTGGCTGTTATTTTAAACCTGGGCTATATATCCAAATTAATTGGAAAGATTTTGAAAAATGCCAATGCTCAGAGCTCCATCCTAGATCAGGGCTACTCAGCTGTGGCACCATTGATATTTTGATCCAGAGAATTCTTTTTTTGGGGGGGTTTCTGTGCACTGTAACATGTTTAGCAGCATTCCTAGCCTTTACCCATTAGATGCCAATAGCAACCATTGCTTCCCCAAATTGTGATAACCAAAAATGTTTCCAGACACTGCTAAGTATCTATCCCCTAGGGGAGAAAATCGACCCCAGCTGAGATCTACTGCCCAGATCAACTAAATCATGATCTCTGGAGAAGGGGGCTTGGGCATGGGTCTTCCTAAGGGTAGATCCAGGTTTTGTGGGGCTTGAAGCTTATAAAATTTGGGGATCCTTCTTTAAAAATAAGAACACAAATTACAAATACAAACTTAGGTATGGAAGTGAATATTTAGAATGAGTAAAGAAATGACAGCAAAATACTAAAGCCTTGGAGAGTCATATCCCATTCATTTGAGATCACTGAGAGCAATATGCCAGCAAAAATTCTTCTTCATCACAACCTGGCTTTCTCTCCTGCACCTAGAATACTAGTTTCAGCATTCACAGGGGCCTGGGTGAGTGAGAGGCCCTGAAGTTTACATGTCCTGAGCAAGCTTCATGGTGAATCCACCTCTAGGTTTGCCCCTGCTGTGGTGCACTGGCTCTGGACAGAGTCCCAGCCCAGCACAGCAGGCACAAGGCCCACAAGGCCCACAAGGCCCAGCTGCTTTAATCACAATTTCAGAAAACTTGGCACTGGGAGTTAGATCTGAGGAGGGCAAGGAGCACAGCGAGAGGGAATTGAGATCGAAGCCAAAACCCAAAGTATGGAGTCACTGACCCTGGACTAGAAATTTAAGCAGTTCCAGCAACTGTGCTGAATGTTGGTGTTCGGGTTCAGCACTGATATCCTGGGCAGGCTAACTGGTCAAACCTGGAGGCCAGGCAGCGAGGAGAGGTGAGTCTTGTAGGTCAACATGATCACTCTCCATACATTCGTCAGGAACATTGAGTCCCAGGTCCGCCTGGAAACCAAATGAACCAGGCAATGAATAAGCAGGCCACACAGCGGCCATAACTAGGGAGCCAGACTCCAGGTTTTAGAGAGTAGACTTGCTTCTCAGCTCCATGAGATGAGGTTGTGGGGAGAGACCAAGCGTGTAAAATACCTAACTTCTTGCATCAGTCAGGATGGGCTCCAGAACTCCATGCGAGAAGGAGTGGCTAGGCCTGGGTCTAAAGGTCAGCAGTGAACTCAGCTGGGAACTGCAGAGGATGAGAAAATGAGGCCAAGGCTGACTCAGGGTAATGGCCACTAAACAGAGGCTCTCTTGATCCTGTGGATAGAGTTAGGTAGACCCTGCAAGCTCTTCATAACATCAGCAGGGGCTGCCCATGGAAACGTCATGGAACCTGATAAGATAAAGGGTTGAAATTAGGAGTTTTCTGCACCCGTGAAATCAAGAGTTGGACCCTGCAGTCACTCCACCGCAATTTGGGTTGGCCAGATACTCATTTTACCAGAACTGGAGATGTGGACTACTTGACTATGAACTTTGCTCCTCAAGGTTAGACGGGTGCACCAAGGATGATATATTGTAGCTATTTCCACTAATTGCTATCTTTAGCACACTTAATAGAGAATATTATCAACATTATTACCACTTGCTGTTTCAGTAATGAAAGCTCCTGACAAGTACAATGCCTTCATTCTAACAGGAATAGACACATTTTCATCTGCAATTCCCCTAGTGTAGAGTTTTGGGGGAGATTGATGACGTCATGTGTGATGGAATCAGGCAAGGCGGAAGGGAGATTTCTGGTCTATTCCCCTGGGAAACTGTACTCATCTCTTCCTCCTACCTGTGTTCCAGTGGTCCTTGGGGATGACTGCATGTGCTCTAACTTTTATACTACGAAGCTTCAAATAAGAGGCAAACTGCAAACTAAGAAGATATGTGTAGTTAATACCCTACCTAGTCACACAAGTCATGCCAATGAACCAACAGAATCCCCATTCTGGCTCCAAGTGTTCTTCTAATCATGGGTGATGGAATCACTCCGGTAATCTCGAAAATTAATTTTAAGCAGTGATTTCATCCTCTTCACTGTTCTTTTAAGAAATATTTTATCAGAATTTCTTTCTGGACACAAGTCCATCTTCTCTGTTTCCTTGCCCACCCACTGGTAATCCTGCAGATAAAAATAAAGTGATCCAAAGAAGGCAATGGTAAGAAGGAAAGGAAAAAGTTTGGATTTTTATCAAACTAGAAATTCAAACCATCCCTTAACCAATGAGGACAAGTCGCATAACATTAGAAGTATGTCCTTTTTTTCTCCCCAAATTAACCAAAATCTTCCCTATCATATTCTTTAATTCTAGAAATTCATGTTTTCTATAGGAAGTTGCTGTCTTATTCTTCTGGGTTTTCAGGTTTATTATTTGCAAAGAACAATGTCCAGGTCTTTCTTTGCATTATGTTAATTCTCTAACACTACCTCTTTCTATGCTTTTTCTTCTAACCTCTCTGACACATTTTAGAGTCCTGAGGTTTCACCCTACTCCCTGACAAGCTGCTATGGGCATCCCCAGCATGCTAAAATGAAGGTTACAAAGGAGTCAGAGAATTGATTGTAAGAAGATCTCTTTAGTTGCTGTTTTCCCAAATGAGTTGAAATCCGATCCTGAGTCTGTCAGAGCCAGGCCAGTCTGGCCTTGACATCCACACTCTACCCACTCTTCCCCCACTGCCCATTCTCGCGGGAGGAGGAGCAAGAGGAGAAACAGAGTTGCTAAAGAAGGATTTGCTTTTGAGGGAATTCAATATCGGCTTTCATACTTTTGAATGTAACTCTACGTCAAGATATTATTAATAGTTAATAAGGTAATATCCTATAAATATCTATGATAGCTACCTCTCAGGGTTACAGCGATGAATAAAGATAAGGCATATAAAGTGTCTGACACACCCGTGATGTTTATTAAGTAGTAATTATTATTGATGCTATGAATTTGCTCCAACTCTGGAGCCAGACAGATCTGATTTAAGTCTTACCCCTGGTTGTGTGATATTGAGCAATTTATTGAAAGTTGCAAAGGCTTGGTTTCCTCATCTATAAATGGTAGGAAATAGTTCCTACTTTGTAGCATGGCCGTGAAGGCTAAATGTGATAGTGCTAAGATAAGGCATTTAGCATTGTGCTAAATCACTTTGTACATGATTAGTGATTATATTAATATTATTATGAGGCTCTTAATATTCTGTTTTTATTTGGTTTCTCCTTAATGTCATCACACATGCTATTTCCTTGTTAATGACTCTACATGGCTTTTTTTTTTTTTTTCCTGTTGACATACCTATGCTTTAGAAATTCTGAAATCTACTTCGAAGACTTCCACTGGATTCCTTCCTTCTGGTCCTCACTGTTAGAATGAAGGCATAGTATTTGTTGGGAGTCTTAGTTACTGAAACAACGGCAGTAGTAATGTTGATGATATAGATACTCTCTATTAAGTATGCTAAAGATAGCAATTAGTGGAAATGGCCTACATGATCCTTGGTGTACCCATCTAACCTTGAGGAGCAAAGTTCATAGTCAAGTAGTCCTCATCTCCAGTTCTGATAAAATGAGTATCTGTCCAACCAAAATTGTGGTGGAGTGACTGCAGGGTCCAACTCCTGATTGCATGGGTCCAGAAAACCCCTAATCTCAATACTTTATCTTGTAGAACTAAGACAAAATGAGAATTAAAAGAGTGAGTATAGTTTATAATGTCTATATGCTCAGGCAGTATAGATATGGTAAAACTTCAAAAATAGAATTGGGCAGGAATAGTGAACACATATGTACAAATTATTTTTAAATCATTCTCACTAACTATAATTGTAGTGGTAGTTAATATTAGGATCCTGATACTAACTGTTCAATGTTGAATAAAGTATGTGAGTAATTATGAAGTTTTCTAATTCTATTATCCCATGTGTCCTTAGGAACCAGGTATGGAATAAAAATAATACAAATGTAATAAAGATGTAATGTAGGCTGGGTGCAGTGGCTCATGCCTGTAATCCTAGCACTCTGGGAGGCCGAGGTGGGTGGATTGCTCAAGGTCAGGTGTTCGCAACCAGCCTGAGCAAGAGTGAGACCCCTGTCTCTACTAAAAATAGAAAGAAATTAATTGGCCAACAAAAAATATATATAGAAAAAGTTAGCCGGGCATGGTGGCACATGCCTGTAATCCCAGCTACTTGGGAGGCTGAGGCAGGAGGATCGCTTGAGCCCAGGAGTTTGAGGTTGCTGTGAGCCAGGCTGACGCCATGGCACTCTAGCCAGGGCAACAGAGTGAGACTCTGTCTCAAGAAAAAGATGTAATGTAAAAAATGTAAAAATGCAATGAAGATGTAATATAGAAAATGTCAAAAGAAAGTAATAAACAAACAACAACAACAACAAAACAACCCTGTAGCCTTGAATTTGTGTGGCAGTATATGAGGCCTAGAATCCTAGAAATAAGACCAATCCAGTGGTAACGACCACTACTGGCACTCAGAATGCAGTCTTAAAATACCATTCTCCCCTAAAAGAAACCAGGCTTTTGGGGCAAGTGATGTACAAACTGAGCCTGGAACATTCCAGATATCGAGGAAGCTATTAAAGATTGTGAAAGTCGTGTCCAAAAGGACTTGGGAGCTGATGTGAGAGGCCCTCTCATTGGCTCACGATGGGGTGATTGGTGTTTCAAAAAGAGTAATATGGGGACTTCTGGTTTCCAGTCTGCTATGTAAGGAGCTCAGAAGTCCCCACCTCATCCTAATGAGAAGTAACAAGTTGAAAAAACTGAAAAATCAGAAACTCTTCTTAGATCCACCAGAGAAGTGAGGTCACAAGGCAAACTGCTGCCCCAAGATTGGAGAGCTTGACAGGCAGATACAGAGAATCACAGTTTACCAGAGCAGAGACCTGTGAGCAGAAAATACCATGAAAACGCTGCCGCCGTGGGAACCTGCACGGGGTAGGGAAGCCTGAATGTAATTGACAAATTGCTGGGGGCTCAGTGTGGACAAGCTTGACAGATAAAAACCCCAGGGGGGGACCCGGTCATGGGGATGGAGCACAGTATTGTGAGATTTACCTCCCGGAGCTCAAACAGGTTCTCACAGTGAATATCTGAGAAAAAAATCCTCTGTGCTTCTGGCAGGGGGAGGAGAGAAAGAAGCATTATAAAATACACCAGAATGTTCTGTTCTTCTTAACAGGGTCCGCCCTCAGGAGAAACTAAAACCTGCTGGGGTTTTATCAGAGCCTAATCAATGTGGAGGAAGGGAGAGAGCCACCTCCAACAACCTCTGTCCTTCCCCGAGGTGAAAGAGAAATACCCGACTATAGCTACAACCCATTTTGCCATCTTGTTTCACCTAACGAGGGGAAAGCAAACAAAACTGAGATGCACTGGTGAAGGTCACAGTTCAAGGGTACAAGGTCACCAAAAGACTGAGACCTCATCATTGGACTATAGAACACCGTCCCTCCCCGCCACCTCACCACCACATCGCTAAAGGCCCAATCACCAGAGTTCCTCTTACTCAGTACCTTGTGTCCACCTTTCAACAAAAAAAATTGCAAGCCTAGAAAAAGGCAAAAAACACAGTTTGGAGAGACTGAGCAAGTTTCAGAGCCAGAGTCAGATACGGCAGGTTGTCGGAATTACAAGACCAGGATTTCTCTTATTAATGATTAATGTGCTAAGGGCTTTGATGGAAAAAGTAAGTAGACAAAATGAGGGGGAAAAAAGATGGATAATGTTAAGCAGAGAGATGAGAAGTCTAAGAAAGAATAACAAAGAAATGACAGAGATCCAAAACACTGCAACATAAATGAAGAAGGCCTTTGATGGGCTCTGATGATTTTTGATGATTAATAGACTGGGCATAGCTGAGGAAAGAATCTTTGAGCTTAAAGATACTACGACAGTGGCTGGGCATGGTGGCTCATGTCTGTTGTCCCACCACTTTGGGAGGCCGAGGCGGGAGGATTGCTTGTGGTCAGGAGTTCGAGACCAGCTTGAGCAAAGAGGAAGACCCGTCTCTACTAAAAATAAAAAAAAATTCGCCGAGCATGGTGGCACCACTTCTAGTCCCAGCTACTCGGATGGCTGAGGTTGGAGTACCACTTGAGCCCAGGAGTTTGAGGTTGCTGTGAGCTAGGCTGATGCCACTGCATTATAGTCTGGTCAACTGAGTTAGACTCTGTCTAAAAAAAAAAAAAGACTAGAAAGTGGCTAGTCAAATATTTCTCGAAGTAGTCAAGTATTTCTTAAGTGTGGTTCATCTCACCAGTAAGAAGCAAGTGGGTATCATGTGTCTTCAGAGATGACACTCTGAAAAGGACATGTCACTGATGTAGGACTCCAG